GTCAAAAGTCAAGCAAAAATTGGACTGATATTGGGCACTATTTCAAGCACAATTTTTTGAGACGTAAATTGTACCTATAGCTCGTTCGATATTCGCGCACTGAGGTGAGTATGCTGGGCGTAGAACCTACGCCCAGCATACTCACTGAACGAAGCCTATAACTCCGAAGTTATTCGAGCACTGTTTTTTCTTTTTGGGCACCGTTTGGCACTATTTGGGAACTATTTTTTGAAGTATGAATTATGTTTGAAGCGTATACAGATTCTCCGGACGGAGGTGAGTATGCTGGGCGAAACCTTCGTCCAGCATACTCATCGAACTATGGCTATAACTTCGCAAGTACAAGAGCACTATTTTTTTCCTTTGGGCACTATTTAGCACTATTTCAGAACAGTTTTTTGACATTCATGAAATATCAGGATTCCATGGTGAGTATGCTGGACGAAGGGACACCTAAATCTACCTTCTTAAGCAGAAGACGGGTAGTCTCTCCATAATTATATAGAGTGGTTCGTAAAATAAAAGACCGATATATAAAATACTGTTTACTTTGGCTTTCCAGTCCGATTTACAGTATTTTTTTATTAATTTTCACAAATTGTATTCAGTAACACAGTTATATTCGACCGAAACTCTAGTTCCAGTAACACATTTTAATATAATACACAAATTCAAAGCCATGAAACGAAATGGGGTACAATGTGACCACAAAACGCTTGCGATCATCTTATGCCACATTTATTACAAACAAATTATAATCTTAAAATTAATAAAGATAATTACAGCATAGTTATATTAGATTGTATATATTAATAAGCTCTAAAAACAGGACAAACTTAAATACACGTTTTGTCTTATGTTCCAGTCACTCCAAACATCCATAGATAGCACCACAATACTTTCACACCTCCTCAAACTGTCCAGTGACTGTCACCGCTACACTACACCGCCTGCTTGCACGACCTGCTACCGCCCCCGGCAGTGTCGCGTCTACTCGTGACACAATACGATATGAAAATCTACAACAATTAGGTACACGAATCAAACTAAGATTATGAAAAAAATGACATAATATTGTTTAAAATGACACAGTACATTATTAATTCGAATTTATTGCTTTCCTTCGATAGAGACATCCACATGCAACTATATGTAGCTACAAAGGTGGTATGCGAGTAGAAATATTGAAATTCGAGATATTACCATTAAATATAATACGTTACGATACATTGTGAGTTACGTACAACATTTATTTTCCACATTCTAAAACGACAAGTAGATTTGTGATGGACTATAGCGTAAATAGATAGTTAGTGTTCACTATAAAGATATAAAATGGACAGGTTCCTTCATAAATATTCTCAGGTAAATTGCAGTTATATACAATCATACGAACCATACTTCCTACGTGAGATAATATCAGTTATTACTAAATATTTATCTTATTGAATTGGGCAGTGTACGTGATCCTGTGTTGCCACCTATGCAAGTACAAATAAGTAAATGATGTTAGAACGAAAACACCAATAGCCGTTAAAACATTGAGTACGTAGACAAGGATTCTAAAAAGATTTTCCATAAATATAGGATTTGGATAAAACTTTTACAGATAGGAAAGATAAGCTATCACAATATACTTGCCTAATGCCAATACTTGCCAATCAAATAAAAGTACGCGCCTGGACGGGTGATTCCTTTTGTTCTATGTCATTTAGCATTTCACACATAGACACTAAAAGCAGGGTGGGGTATTTCCTTTTGACTAATTAGATTACGATATTTAAGATAAATTAACAAAATGCTCACAGCCTAAATGTACATATAATAATTTTGACATACAATATCAATTTTGCGACAGTCATGCACACAGATACCAATAGTTATAAACACTAAGTTAGAAATGCACATTAGATGAAGCTACAGCTCTGGTATATACCGAGTACTGACGAAAGACGAGACATATAACGTACGATGAATTACACTTACTTCACCCTATATGAGCATATTAATTGTTATGAAATATTATGAAAACTGAATATGAAATTACGATGTACCTAACTCTATGAAATAAAATAAAGCAGTAATTTTAGAAATACTACAGATTTATCGACCATTATTTCAACACAAGTCGAATAACTACAATACAAAATTGATAAAAAACGTTGGCCGTAAGATTCCTAATTTAATAAACATCATCTAATTTAGATACGTAAAACTAGGAACACTACAGTCCTCTCCCTAATAGCCGCCGAGTATAGCTAGTAAGCTTACAATTTAAATAAATAAAAGCACATCGCGTTAGTAGTTCTGTAGAACATAAAGAATGTTCTAGAGAAGCACTAATGTATTAATCTAAAGAGATGATGCAGTCATGTTTAGTTTAAATTAAATTTCAGTTTGTACACATCCTTCAGATTAACAATGCACATACTTTGTCAATAACACACTGCGATACTTGGAGACATTTAATGATGTCTTAATCTAGTCCTTAGTAACGATTTTGTTCCGATAACATTTGCTAAGGACTGGGTTAAGTAGCCATTAAATGACTCTGAGTATGGCAGTTAACACTTGAATCAATAAAGTGACTTTAAAATTCCCATTTTCACAATATTCATTGACACAATTCTTAAGCACACTTATCGATTTGTGACTGCTTTACGATTGTGCTGCACTCGCGAAAAGAGGGGTTACCGAAAATAATGAGCGAGTGTGATTATAGAATTATTTTTAAGTCCTAAATAGTCTTTACTTATTGTAAGCGGTTACATCATAGACATAGAAATTAGCAGAAAGGAGCTATGACATAACCGCTTAGTCTAACAATTTCGTCATCAATTTTCGTACAAAAACATTATCAGAACTTATGCACTCAAAGTACACCCGCTCAAAGTCGAATATGATTTGTCGCTTTCTTTCGCGAATTATATTTCATTTTCGATTAATTTCGAGTTCGAATTTTACATTTTCGAGCTCGAAAGTAGTCGTGTTAATACTTGCAATGTTGTATGCACTCGATCAATAAAACATTAAGTTGCCTTTTTAGCGAGTGCAGTAAGTTTTAGTCTAATCTGTGACAGGCTGTATGTATTGTGTATGAGAATAGAGACTGGCACAGAGTAGACGTCATATGTTACCATAGACTACAAGTAATGTTGTGATGATACCGTTGGAATGTATTCTAAACATCGATGTTTTATACAAACGTCCGTACACGAAATTAATTGAACATTATCATAAATATGTCAGTGTATCATTTTCAATTCCTAACTAAATAATAATTATATCATATACTTATTGAAACGCAACGATCACAAATCTATTTATATACATTAAACTTACACATAATATTAGAAACAACCGAACCATTAAAATTTTCTCACAACATTTGCACTTTCATGAGATGTCAAAATTTTTTAAAACAATATAATATTATATTTATAGGACAGTCTATGCAACGTATTCAAAAAATACACACAGTTTACATGCTACTATAGTGTATATCAACTTTATAATAATTGTCTGTGGGATATACAGATCTTTTAATTTAATTTTACAACAATAATTAAGGGCAATTTTTTATTAAAACTGTGCCGAGATCTTAGGTTGGCGGACACAGAGACGTGAGCAAATGGAGAACTATAAAACAGTTTTCATTAAGTTACTGAGACATACACGACTTGTGTGTCTATATATTTTTCACAATAGTTTACGTTGAAAGTTGTGGTTTTAAATATAGAGGCGTTGCTAAGCCTCCAGGTTTAACCTCCATTTTTTTACTACTCCGCACCCGCTATAATTTTGATAACATTTCTATTATGAAACGCCAATAAATAATAATGCATTGTCTCGTTGCCAACGTCCGAGTAAATGTACTGGATACTTTGTAACACGTTTGGCAGGTCTTCGTAAAAATAAATTCCAATACCGTTGTTCATGTTCAGTTAGGTTGGACGTGAACTCAGGTTGAGCACGTTGTCGCCGCCGTCGGAGGCGGGGGCGGAGGGCTAGGGCTCCGGTGGGGGGTGTGGCGGGACTGGTGGGGCCGTGGCAGCGTTGGCGAGTGCATCCAGGGCATCTAAGGCTAATGCTAGATGTGCCAGTCCTCCAGCCCCTCGCGGTGTGGCTTCGTCGGGCTCCGAGTCAGGCTCGGCTGGTTCGGACGCAGCGTCGTCACCAGAACTGCCCGATCCGGACCCCGCTCGCGTCGTCGTATTGCTTGGTCCTCCCGTACACCCGTTCTCCGGCTCTGAGCTTTCTTCTTCTATTTATTGAAAACAAATTTAGAATTAGTGCATGTTGAATAATTTTAATTCGAATTTGCAGTGATTTTTAGTTACATTTTCATGTTATAACGACATTCTACGTTGGATTTCCAGGTTGGGTATAATTAATTAAGTCTTATCTTATTTGAATTTTCAGTAAAGTTTGCGATAGAATATTAAAGACTTTAGACAGAAGAAAGGATAAAGCAGACATCATGTTGCACTGATCAACACCAACCGTATTCTAGGAATACCGGAGCTGACAAAAATAATGTTGTCTATATAGAAATTGAATAATATGAAGTATATTTACCGGTAGCTTGTTGCAGCCTCGTGCGTATAGCGCGCGTGGCCCGTAGCAGATCCCGCGCGCGTGCGCTGTCGGGCGGCGCGCGCGCGTGTATGAGCGTGAGCGCGCGCACGGCGGCCAGTAGCGCGCGCACGGGCCCGCGCGCGCTGCCCGCCACCAGCTCCTCCAGCAGCGCTTCCGCAGCGCCGCCGCCGCTTGAACTACTGCTGGAGCTGCTCGACGCGCCGCCACCCAGCTAGTAGCCACAAAGGTCAAATAAGTACTACAATTCTAATAATACAGATGACAAAAGCTTCTGTTACCTACTTCATACTTTCTTTTCCATAATTTTGCACCTACCGCTTTAACGTTCTGCACCACCCAATGGTCGACTGTCAGAGAATGCCTACGGCGTTAAGTCTGCCAATTTCACAGTGTATGTGCAATAAAGTTAAAACAAATAAAAAAGAAATTGTTCAGATAAATGATTACTACTTTAAATCAAGGAATAATTGGAAATATAAAAAAAAAGAAATGTAAAGAGAATGGGACTCGAGCTGAAGATTTAGGATGAAATCCACATTCAAATGGGGAACATTATTCTCCGTTGGGGCTGTTTTAAGGAGAACTATATTTTATTAACAGAAGAATGAAGTACTTAAAGTTCTCAATTCAGAAAATTTGGGAGTGGGGCAACGTTTTTAAGAAAAAAAGTTGGTAATTATTACTAAGTCGCATGGTACCTTGGGATAGTAGTGCTGCATGAACTGGTATATGACGGGGTCCTCGAGCGCCTCCCTCTCGTCCAGCAGCACGGCGTCCACGTACTCCGCCGCCACGCTGCACTCCACCAACATCTCCTCCAACTTAGAGTCCGCCTGCAACACACATACGTGATATACGTGATATATATGTGAAGCAGAATTTAATATGTCGTGAAGTCTTTTAATAGACATCACGTCTATTTAGTTTGAGGTACATTTGTAAACTGTTGAAGAGTTTAACAATGTTACTTTCATTATACACAATTTACTGAACATTACTTATTTCAGTTTTTTTTAAACTAAAAAAGATGTTTTGAGGAAATCTACGTCGACAAAAACGTCTTGAAGTTCCTTAAACTTAGTGAAAACTCTTCAAAGAATCAATGCAATTTTATATAAAGCCAAAACAATTACCCATGAAGAAATAAATCAAAATATAAAACGTACCGGAGAGTTGGCGACTTCGGTCCAGAATGCCGCGAAGTAGTTGAACCTTAGCGGCACGGCCTCCAGTGCACAGAGCGCAGACACCAGCACCAACTGCTCAGACATACAGCGCTGGCTGCGGGCCACGCGGCAACACGTGTCTGTAGGGGGACACGAGACAAATGTTTTATTTCCATGTTTTTTTTGGCACAAGTACCACAATTTCCCAAATCCACTTGAACTTCTGTAATCTACAGTAAACACAAATATGAAAAGATTGAAATAGTGATATTTAGCGCGTCCCAAGGACATGAATTTTCCTTGGCTCATTGAATTGAATAATAGTTTATGCAACACGAAACTTCTGTCACAGAGAACAAAAATTTTTAATTTGAACCTTGTCGTGACAACAGATAAGAAAGAATGTAAATTTCAAAAATAAAAAGTAAAACGAAGTGCAAACCAACCATCTTTTGCGCAACGGTTGCGCAAATTGCGCTAATTCCGAACTCACCTATAAACTTATGGTATGGTCGGTATGATGTGGCGAGTCTGTGCGCGTTGTGCTTGTCGTGCGGTATCGCCGCGTGCTGCGGCAGCGCGGCGTGCGCGCTGTGTGCGCCGTGTGCTCCGTGTGCGCCGTGTGCTCCGTGCGCTCCGTGCGGGGCGCGGGGCCCGCACACGTGCGCGTGGCGGCCGCGGGACCCACACGCCGCACCCGCTGCACCCGCTGCTAATGGTACTAACGCGCCTAATGCTGCTCCTCCGCCTATCATGACTATCTCACGTAGAACGCCTGCGCAAAATAAACATAACATGCTTTACAAACAGGAAGCGGTACTTATGACAAGTAGTAAGCCTTTTTATGTAGAGGAGTTCCATAGTCCAGTAGTGAACTACCATGGGCTGTCGATGATGATGTTACAACTTGGGAGTGGAATATTTATTTTCTCAAGCAAATTTTGTACAGTTTAACAAAGACATGAGCTGACCCAGCGCGGCGTCCCTGAGATGGTTGTGCCTGTGGTGCAGGTTGAGCATGGTGAGCAGTCGGCGCGCGCACTCGGGCCAGTCCTTGCAGGCCAGCAGCAGCGCGCGCGCCTCCTTGTGGTCGCGGCGCGTGCGCAGCGTGCGGCACAGCGCGCGCGCCCAGCGCAGCGCCGCCGTCAGCTCCGCGCGCACGCAGCCCGCGCCCCCGCCCGCCGCGCCCCCGCCCGCGCCCTCCACGTACACCGCGTGCAGGCTGTGCAGCGCCTGCCGTAAACAATCAAACATGTTTCTCTAACTACGACCCGCCCCCGGGGAAACAATGAAATCCTCAGGCAGCACAGATGCTGTAATACCAATCGTCAAGCGACATGCCTTTCTATAGACACTCAATACGACTACAAAACGACAACGACGTGACGACAAAAAGTACTAATCAACACCATACACAGAAAAGTTTGTAGTTGACTTGCCCTAGGAACTGCAGTATTCTTATCAGTTTACATTACTTCCTTAGACCAAAATAATATACAAAAACGACAAACGAAACACACTCACTTCGAAGGTCATCTGTAGTCCACCATTATAGACAACATAAAGCCTATCATCTTCGTTCTCTACGAGCGTGCAGAAGGCAGAGATCAGCGTGGACCAACATGTCCTGCCGTTCAACCCTGCAACCCACAACTGTCTATACACACCATCTATAACATATAAACGATTTAACAAGTTATATCTATTAGTATCGCACACGTAATAAACAGAATATAAGAATGTATGTAGTATGCTCACCCTGTAGATACGCGGCGAGAGTGCTACGTCGGAAGGCGGCCGCCTCCCTCCCCTCCCCCTCCGCGCCCCCGCTACTGCCCGCGCCCCCGCCCCGCGCCGCCAGGACTCGCGCTAGTCTGTATACATACAAATATTATTTGTATCTTGAATTTATTAAATTAAAATACACTGAAGTTACATAACACACAAATTTTCCATGATTGATGAAAAAATTATGTCTAATATTACTTAAATGATATCTAGTAGAAAACGAGAGCGGGCGAAGGAATGTTGATTGCAGTGTGTGATTGCATCCATTTAAAAAAATTCCAGTTACTTATTAGTAAGCTATAGAACAAAATTAAAATCTTCATTTGTAGAATAAATATGTAGAATAGAATAAATAAATGCTATAAAATAATAATAAAAAAAAGTAAAAATAAAACAAATAATAATACCTTAGCAGTTCGTCCGCAGCTCCGGGATATAAATGAGCATGCGGCGCGATGTTCCGGAAGGCCCAGTGTATGTTCTGGTGCTGCGCCAGGGCGCGCGCGAAGGCCCCGGAGCGCCGGCAGCACAGCCTCAGCAGGGCGTAGTACGGCGGCAACATGGCGCGGTTGTACGCCACCACCTCGCCGTCCTCGTGGTCCGCGCTACGCATAAAGATAGCAGTTGGCTCTTAGTTTCTTGTATTTTTCTTTATTGTTGGAATTTTATTCTAATATTCTCTATGAAAAGCTTCTAACGAGGGTGTTGATTAGTTATTGACTGATTGCATAGCCATCTGTTGCTTTATAATATCGAAATTAATAAAATAAAATAAAATATTGCTTCAGTTGATCAATGATGAGTGGTTTGTTACATAAAAAAGGGTTGAAAACAATAATAAAACTGCACTCATTTAACCCTTTTTTTAAGTCACGTTGTTTTATTGTTTTATATCACAAAGAAAAATATTTTAAAGAACTTATATATCAATTTAATCCTTGAAAATGTTGCAAAAGGATTCAAAGTCCTTTGGGCACAAACAAATAAAAATTAAACAAAAATTCTGAATGGCGTAATATTTCGTTAAATATCAGGAAAAAATTACAGAAAAATGTTTAAAAATATTTTACACACAACAAAACAGAAAACACAAAAAGTGTATTTGAAGGGGACACCCGGGTTTGAACCGGGGACCTCTCGATCTGCAGTCGAATGCTCTACCACTGAGCTATATCCCCAATGACTAAACTGTCGAAATACCACACCACTTGATTAAAATATGATACATAATATAACCATTCTGTGTTATCAATCATGTAAAGATTATTGTTTTAGAATCAGCAATTTATTTTTATGAATTTTAATTGAAATGTTTTGCTGAGATTTTATCGAAACGATGTCAGTCCCTATGTAGTACGTACGACTATTACACCTACGCATTTGTGTATGTGTGGGTGACGAAAAAGAACTTCGTGTTGCTAACTAATCAGATGTTTTGATTTGGTTCTTACTATTTACATTTGTTTTTTATCGTAATGTACTCAAAACAATATAAAAACTATAACGGGCTCTGCATTTTTCTTCTACACAGATTAATATCTAATGTTACTTTTTTCTTTACTGACTATCAGTAAAGACTATCAGTAAAGACTATCAGTAAAAGACTATCAATTGTACTGACAGAAATACAAATAAAACTGTGAGTCGTTAAAACTTCCGAGTTTCTGTCTGTAATAATCACTTACATACATACATAACTTCACGCCTGTCTCCCCCCATGGAGGTAGGCAGAGACTATGGAACACCAATTACTACGATTCCTACATACCTCTTTCGCTTCATCAACAGTCATCAATCTTTTCATGCATGCTCGTCGGTTAAGGGTACTTTTAATTTGGTCCTTCTTTAATATATCGCCAATTTGGTCAGTATATGACCGTCTAGGGCGCCCTCTACCGACGGCCCCATTCATATCCGCTCTGTATACTTGTTTCGTGAGTGTACTAAACAATACTCACAGTATATAATTGAAGGCGATGTGCTTGGTGAGTCGCTGGTTGGCGACGGCGAGCTGTACGTTCTCGGGGCAGTCGACGGACACGGCGTGCCAGAACGTCAGCAGCGCCTGCTTGTTGGGGTGCACCGCCACCGACGGCTCCGATATAGCTGGGTGGTACAACTCCCACAGGTCGTTGAAGTATTGACCGAACTGTAATTAATGTAGGATATTTGTGGATTAAACTTATAATAAAAATGTAGAGATCTATAAAGTTTTTGACAATGTTTATTATTATAAGCCGGTTTCTAAAAAAATTTAGAAGTTATAAAAAAGCACACTTTACGTTTGAATGTTACGTTTTTTATTAGATGAGTCAGTAATCAGCGTTCGAGCACTCGCCGAGTGGTACACAATGATGTTATATTTAAGACAGTTATGTCATCTTGAAATTTGATTATTTATATATGTAGCTAATAGCTATCTTTTTATCGTTGTCTTCTACGGACGACCTATCCCATCTAAAAGATATATGGGTCATAAAGTTTTTGAATACGAACCATGAGTTTTTCGACTCTGCTGACGACGCAATAGGACATGACACCGAAGTAGGCCGTCAACTTCATGGTGCCGTGCACCGCTATGTCGGTGTACTTGCGGGCTGCCTTCAACTTGCCCAGAAGCATTGTGTACACCTGGAAAGTGTTAACAGAATATTAATTTATAGCACTCGCTTGAGCACAATTTCAACTGATGACGTCATAAGTACGTTAACCCCTGTTCTCTAGAGTGATTACTCCAAAGTCATTGGAAGTAGATTTCAGTTTATTGTAAGTCTTAATAATCGTCGATAATGAATACATTTAGGGCAACAAGTCATTAACTGGGTGAATACACAGTTTTTATCAAGAATTGTTAGCTTGCTGAAAGAATAACTTTATGATTACATAATTATTTGAAGTTTCATACATTAAAAGTTGTATATTTAAACATAATGTTATGGTCATTGTTATTCAGCCTGCCTTAAGATATTAACTTCATCAGACATGAGAAGGTTAGAGTAGAGGAAGTGAGTAGCGGTACCTGATGCAGGGTGTGGTGCGCCGTGTCGGGCAGCTTGGCGTGGGTGGCGTGGTTGGCGTGGGGCGCGGGCGCGGGCGGGCGCGCGCGCGCGTACCCGGCGCGGAAGTGCTGCGACGGCACCAGCGCCACCAGCAGCAGCGCCGCCGCCGCGCGCACGCGCGCCGCGCCCGCGCCCAGCAGCTGCGGCTCCAGCCAGCGCTCCCACGTGCGCAGCGCCCACGCGTGCGCGGCCTTGTTGCGGGGGACCTGCAATTGTTTCGGCTCATGTATAAGGGCGGTCTGATTTAGTTAGTTGTAATTTCCAACGATAAGAGACAACTTTCACGTCGATATTATTATATTGGCTATGAAGTAGTTTTAATGGGTAGTTTAATATTTTTAAATTCACCACAAATACAAATACTGTGATACTTTGAAATAAAATTACTTTCTTACCTGTAACACTCACAAAATCCTGTACTATAATTATAATATCTTATTTAAAAGACCGGCAACACATCTGTAACTGGTCTAATATAATATTCGTGGACGGCATCAATCACTTACCATGAGGCGAGACTACCTCACACATAACAACGTCACGCCTTTAATCCCCGTAGGGATAGACAGAGGTGCACATTACAGTACGAGTTGCATGTAATAGAAGGTGAGCCTATTAGGCACGATTTCAAACTCCATGCTACTACTGAGAATTAAAAAAAAAACAAAACTTTGCCCGACCTAGGAACCGAACTCGGGACCCTTTGCCCGGCAGTCGCACTTGCGACCACTCAGCCAACGAGTCAGTCGACACTCCTTATCGTATGAAATCACTTTTCCAGTATATTTGAATTCAAGAATATTATAGTACATTACCTGCAAGGCCAGCCACTCCAGCGCCGCATGCGGGCAGACGTCGGCGACGTCCCAGAGCCGCGCCAGGACGAGCTGCGTGTAGCAGGGCAGGCCGCCCGTGGCGCCCGCGCCGCCGCCGCTGCCCTCCACCAGCAACGTTAGTAACTTAAAAAATGGTCCGCAGCTCTGGGAATGGAAAACAAAATAGGGTTAAATATTACAAACATAAGCCTCGAGAATCAATTTAGGTGTGAATGTACGATTATAAATGCAAGAGGGGTTTAGCACTAAAACAAAATCATTCACATGGCAAAAAGCTGTAAAAGATGGTTTAATTTGATAGCGGTCAAAAACATCGAGATCACGACCCACTGTAGGGAATAATACAATACCAGGAAGCGAATGATTTAGATTTATAACGTAGACCATCATTTTAGTTATTATTTTTTATTTGTTCTACGCTACATTTTCTCGTGTTACATAATTTTAAATACACAACAAACCCAAACTGGCAACAACAATTTGTGGATCTCACAAAAAATAGCTTCGTGCGGAAATCGAACCCGCAAGAAATTACATGCTAGCCGGTTATCCAACCAGTGCGCCAATCGTGCAGACAATATAGTGAACTAAAGATACAAATATAACAAAGTAGAACGACTGAAACCTCAGAATGTTTAGCGATGGCCTGGAAGATCATGTTGACGATTTTCTGCGCGAGCGGCTCGTTCCAGCGACACAGCGCGAATATCAGGGACCGCGTCTGTTGCAGGTTCAGGCAGTCGCGGGTCTGCTGGTAGATGAATGGAAACCCCTGGAATTGAAATAAACAGATAAATATACAAAAATTGCATTAGATATGTACGGTATTGTCCAAACAGAAGGTAATAAATGTTTCTTTCGAGATGATTACAGATTAGGTGCTACTTTACTACTCTTTGAGTACAGTCATTATAGACACAATTAAAGAACAATAGGTCGCGGTCACCGGTGTCCTCGAGGTGTTTGACAGTTTAATACACAACACTTTTCACCGCTGGAAAATCATCCAATGACTCCACCTTCCTGGGCAAGGTAAGTATCATATCAGACTCTTACTGATTAAAACCCACCCTGTTAAAACTCCTGCTTCGTTTCTGGGCCTCAGAACCTATGTTGCGACCCATGGATATACCCTAATGATGCTTTTTGAAGGCAGATTTCTTAGATACAGTTACCTTAGCATGCAGCAGTGCCCTGGCGTCAGGCTCCAGCAGTGCGAGATGTCCGGCGGAGTCCCTGGACCGCTCCAAGAGTCCCGCGACGAGTGCGACCATCTTGTCGAGCGCGCCGGGCCGTAGTTTGTCTCCGCCACTCTCCGCCGTAGTGCTCCCACTACCACTGCCACCCGCTTCCTCCGTCGGGGAGTCCGTTTGCTGGAAAGATAAATGGATAGGTAATTAGTATGTTGAGTCAAACGTTAGAGTTTGGTGAATTTTTTACATCCTAAGTTTTTGTTTCATCGGGTGTAGTTTATTATATTACAGACTTTCGACAAGGCTACCTCATTGAGCTCGGAGGCTGCTCAGATTTTGAACATATCACGAAGTATCACAAACTCGTCTCCTTCTATCATATATTTTTAATAACGATAACGTTTGGGGAATAAGAGACATGACGTCATGTATACCCTGTAATTTGGCGTTCCACTGTCTGTTTACCCACGACGGTATAAAGATGACGGTAATAAAATAAAAATGTATTAATAGCGATAACGTACACAGCTGACAGCGGCGGAGTTCTGTCCTAGATAGAAGTTGACCATGCTAGAGATGGCATTGATGCGTAGCATGAACTTGCCCTCCTCCTCCCCCATCTTGCTGAACTCGTACAGTAGACTGAAGTACTCCGTCAGGTGACGCAAGTGAGACCGCGCGCCGTTCTCCATCTGTTTACAAGGACACAATTAATTCAAAGTGACGTGAGTTTTTGGTAACACAAAATTAATGATTATAATACACGAGGATGTCGAGTTTTGGGTCTGTATTGTAGTATTTATTTTCTCAAGTATAAGTAAAAATTTCATACTAAGCGTCGTTTAACACATTTTTTTACAACCATAAAATATCACAAAATTCTAAGAATATTAAAATGAAATTAAACTGACAAATAGTCACAGAGCGCAACACTGTAAATAATTTATATTCACTATAAAAAAACAGATATAAATGCTACAAGCTAGATATTGATACAAAAATTAATCTTGAGTAGTGTGAGAGAAGTAGCTATACTGTACTTACCAATGACAATAACATCCTTATAAATCTAGTAACACAACTGGCCTCCCCCAGCTTGCTGGTATCCTCGCCCTCCTCCATGCCTTGCAGGTATAAGGCACAATGACTAGATCTGAAACCAAACAAAAATATTTATTACTAGCTTTTACCAGCGGCTTCCTACTAGCTTTTACCAAAGGATAAAAGTAGCCTATGTGACATATACCAATACACACAGCGCCATCTATACCAATAATTTTGTTTTCCCTCGAGCATATCAAATTTTTCCGGGATAAAAAGTACCCTATTATTTAATCCAGACTTCTAACTGTACATTTGCAAAAATTCAAAGCAATCGGTTTAGTAGTTACGGCGTGAAAGCGGAACTTATATTTACATGATTTCAAATCATGAAATCATGTAAATATAAACTTTACCAGTCTTGAAACACTTTTTAGTTAGATGCCCGTTTACAATAAATATTAAGAGCCCCGGCGTGGCTCGAAAGTAGTCAAGCATACCCAAAATAGTACGCACAAGTAAGCTATAATACACGCATTATTAAATTCAAATCTGAATTATTTATATATTAGCTTCATATATTATGTATTTTTTTTTAAAACGTTGCCCCACATTAGGATTTTCTCCTGTGTCGTGGGTGCGTTTACAAACATACAAGTTCACATACACAATGACACCCAGACCCGAAACAACAATTTGTGGATCACACAAAGTGTTGTTCTGTGCGGGAATCGAACCCGCGACACCTTGCACGGCAGCCGGTTGCCCAGCCACCGCACCAACCGTGCAGTCAACAGTCAAGTATTTAAGGAAGTATGTATTTAGAAAGGGACTCACCTGAGCCTTTGTATTACATGCATACAAAGTCTTTGAAACATTTGCCGGACCATTTGATTCGGACATTTTATAAGTACCTGCAACGACACGAAAATTGAATTGTCACCAGTTCAATCTGATACCAAGATATGCAGTATGATTCAGCTTGCAAATCACTTTTGTTCATTGCAGTCGAGCTTATTTTAAAGTATACAAGTCGGAACATAACATAATATCACCTCTTTTATCACCGAAGGGATAGGCAGAGGTGCACATTACGGTACTTAATGCCACTGTACAATAGAAGACCCACTTTTCACTATTTATGTTATGAGTCCCATGTAACAGGGGATGAGCCTATTGCCATATACCGTGCACGATTCCAGACTCCGTGCTACAACTGAGGTTTGTTTTAAAAAGCCTTTACTATCCCCGACCCGGATATCGAACCCGAAACCTCTTGCTCGGCAGTCGCATTTGCGACCACTCGGCACAGTCAATTCCGAATCCATGGATTAAAAGATAGACAGATACGGACTGTATTTTAGGTATACGTACTTAGTTAAATAATAATAAATGAGTAACTCACTTGCATGGGCCACCACGTGTCGTCCGCCATGTGCCCTAGAAACCACTCTGAAGCTGCGGCCGACGCGTTGAACTGCTTCGTCACCAATTCCACCCACGACACCATTGTTGGCTGAAAATATACATATACATTACAATTCAACTTAATCGTAAGCCTCTCCAATTTTATTTTCTTTAGTGGAAAGAAGTCGCAATTAATTGCATTTATGCCTAAAACAAAAATTGGCATAGCATATGACTGCAATGCATGGGAGGTTCGATTTGAACTTGTGTATTTGTAAAGGAACAAATGTTTAGGGTGGTCTTACATTAAAAAAAAAACTATAATAGCCAGTAATTTCCTCTACCAGTAAAACATAATGTTACAATTTGTTTTTATGGAATAAACCCGAAACACCAGAGGTGTTGCAAATGTGTTATCAGCCTTTTGGGGATTAGGAATTTGAGAATTGTTGGGGATTAGGGGATTGGAAAGATTGAGGAGGGAGTAATTGGCCTCCGGTAACCTCACTCTCACGACGAAACACAAAGCAAGTGTTGTTTATCCTCCGTTGGAGCCGGCCCATTCTTGACGAAACATGGCTCTCCTACACTTAAATCTTCATTACAATCTTTCGATATATTATGTTCAATCTTCATGACTTACCTTTTCCTTAGCATGAATGAAAGTTTCGATGAAGAATGACGTAGAAAGTCTGGCAGCCACCTCAGTAACCTCGGGACGCAGCGTCATCAGGGACTGGGGCACTGAGCTGCACATCTGACCCATAAACCTGGTACAAAAATGAGAAATTATTTATTTTCCATACACAAATCTAAGATTGAATGAATTATTTACACTGAAAGGAACTTTTGCAAGGCAAACAATAATAAAATTGTCTAACTATATCGCCTGTTTGGTTTATTTTTTTTTTATCTGTTGTTTATTATGGGGTTTTTTATCTTTGATATGCCAACCCCATCACACATTTTAACAAAATATAATCTATAAATATACATAATTATTACTTACAAAAAACAGTATAAGGTATACCGCCAAGTAAATGTTTTGTCATTACTACTTACGTAAAATATGCATGCTGGAATATATTCTTATCATGCAAGAACTGCATGTTATCGTCCCAGATCCACTTGAGTAGGTCCGGCGGTAATTTGATAGTAGGAGACGAATCACTGCTTCTTCGCTCCACGGATGAGCTTGGACTAGTCTCCTCTGCTGTTGACGACTGTGAATAAAAGAGGTTAGTGTAATTTGAGCTTTCATGTTCACTAATTGAGTTTACTTTTGAACAGATACTTAACAATCAATCTTTTGATATATTTTCTACATCAAATTTATTAACGTTGATTGCGCAACATCGCAATATTTATTAAACAATTATCGCACATAACTGTGAGATCCTGGTAAGGCTTGAAACCAGACGATTCACGTAACTCGAGACATTGTCATAGAGTTACGTGAATTAGCTTTAAAAATGTAATATAGCATCCAGTATTGTAGCCAGTTGGTTGCGCAACACTTGCTACGTCGTTTATCGTACATAACTGAGAGCCCCCAGTAAGGCTTGAAACCAGACTAGTTACGTTTTTAAACAGTTACGAGAATAAGCTTTTAAGATAAACTATTTAATCCATTACACCCTTAATTAATTTTGGTAAATTAATTGTACGATTACGTTTATGAAATATATGATTCTTATTATATTATTGTCTATTTTATGAATAGTACCTGTGCCTCCTCCTGGAGCCCACAGTCGGAGCCCCGGTGACTCCGCGGCGGGCTCCACTCGTAGAACAACATGTACGCACTGTTCGTCTTCTCAAACGAAAAGTCCATGAACTTATCCGTCACTGAATCGTACGTCTTACTCTGGAAATAAAAAAAAACCATTCACTAACTTATAAATATTCAGATAAATTGAAATTGTGATAACGAAGTAGTGATATTTTTTCATTTAGATTTATAATTACTTTATTAAAAGATTTTGAACCTTATTTTGTATGTGGAACGGCTTTCTGACTTATCCTCTGATAATAATTGATTGGCGCCACCCAAGTACGTTACCAGCCACAACACCACATTACGTTACCAGCTTCTACGTGGGAGGCGTGGGGGACTGGGCCTTCGGGAACCCCACTTTCACATTTATAACTATAATGTTCAAATACTCAAATACCATTCAAGTTTAAGACGCTTTCAAGAATAGTTTCGTCACTACAAATTATTTGTAAAATGACAGATATAGCACGATATTTAAGTACAATTTGGGGTAGCTTTTCAGTGCTTGAGTGTAAGTAAGGTTCAGATTCTATGTAGATTTTAGATACATAACATAAGATCACGCCTTTTTTTATGAATTTTTATGCCTAATTGTTATGTAATTTATACTTTTAGTAATAATTATAGATGTGGTTAATTGTAGTGTGTAACTAGGTACCCTCTTTACTTTATAAAAATTGTCTAGATGTATTATAATTAAAAAAATATATATGATAAGGGCATGGACCCAGAGTCCGCTGAGAATTAATTTGTAATATAAAAAAAAAATCACGCCTTTTATCCCCGAAGGGATAGGCATAGGTGCACATTACGGCACTTAATGCCACTGTACAATGTAACACCCACTTTTCACTATTTACATTATGAGTCGGAGTGTGCCTATTGCCATATACCAGACACAATTCCAAACTCATTACTGAGATTTTTTTAAATACCCAGTAGTAGTTTACCGACCCGGGAATCGAACCCGAGACCCCTTACCTTGTAGTCGCACTAGCGACCACTCAACCAACGAGGCAAGTGACTTATTTTAGACACGTTTGACATAAAAATAGATTTATAGTAGTGTGCAGTCCGTACAGTCATCTCCCCGCCGAAGCATTCAGCAGCAATGTGCGCGGGGTCGAATGGTTTGACCTCGGCGTCGTTGAACAGCAGCCAGCGGTCGTGGTGGTCGTGCTCGCGGTCGCGGATGAACGAGTAGTAGTGCCCGCCGTCCGCCGTGCCCGTGTGGACTGTCACGCCTATCAACTCGTATCTGACGAGAATATACACTAAATATAACAAACATGTAGGTAACTATATTTTTAGTCAGGTCGTTAACGAGAGCTTGTATTAAGGGGGGAAAATCAAATCTTCGAATGACTTCTTCCGCCTATGTGAGGCGGAAGGGAGTGCCAGACTCTTACTGACCAAAAACCACCCCGTTCCTACTCCTGCACTTCGAGTTGGAGCCCCGTTAACAAGAGCTACAACAACTACCGCATAAATTTATCGCCTGAATCGCTAATGTAGTAATTTTTAATTATCATTGGAAATTTAATGCCTAACGGCTACTGACATTGGACGAACATATTAGCACTATCGAATTTAGTGAGCTGCAAAACATTAATTTTCATTTAATACCATCGTAGTATTTAGAATGCGCAATGCGGAAGACATTTGCGCAAAAGTATTTTGCGCAAGTTGTGTTGAAAACTAATGAGTTGGTAAAGGACGCTACATGTACTTATGAATACTATAATACCAAAGAATTACTTTACTTTTTCAAGAAAATTCTTGGTTTTGATGCAAATAAAGTATTATTAAATTACTTACTCATAATGCTCTTCGAATTCAGAATTATCTTCTATTTCTGCAGCCGTAGGACTAGCATCACCTTCTTTCTTTTCTGCTAACTTATTTTTCTCCTCTGCAAGAAGAAACATTGAAATATAAACAACTTAATTGTACCAGAAACGCATGTAAATCATACAAATAATGCCTGTATTTTAAGCAATAAGATTTTTCCTATCTTTACCTTGATATTGCGCCGGCATGAGATGTTTCTCGACATATCCAGACATATCGAGTCGCATGGGGAATGAAAAGTGCGTGTTCACTTTCTCCTTCAGCATAGTCAACATGTTGAACGTGTAGCGCATCGTGTTGAAACATAGTATGCGAGGGAGCTTCTTGAAACACGCCCTGTAAATGGAATCGAAAACGTTTATAAAGTCTTTTTCGCATAGTAAATTGCTGAAGTAATATAAATGACTATCAGTAATTTAATTAATAATACCTCATTGTTTAATGTCAAGAACAATTCATAGTTATATTGAGTTAATACTGTAATGAGCCACGTAAGACAGTTTCTATGTAAAAGTCGTTGAAATAAAGTGAGTCAGTTAGCTTCCTGACGCACGCGGTTGACCGCGATCATAGTATTGTATAGCGTTTGCATATTAAATGGGAAAAGCGACTAACCGCGTTCCGGCTAGTCGCAGTCGTCAACCCCCAGTGCGTAAGGAGGCTTATAGCCAATTTTAATAATCTCTATCTGTAGATTTGCTTATTAGAGAAATTTGTAGTAGATGTAGATTGTAGTAGGTAGTAGATCTTCGATACAATAAATTAAAGTTCATAGGAAATTACATTACCGTTTCTCAGCGCGCACTTTAGCGGAGCAGTGCGAGCAAGTGTAGCAGTTGTCCCCCTCGAGCGTGTCCTTCACGGTGACCTCGTCCAGGGACTGGTGCAAGTTGCGCATGTCTGCCACCTGGCAGCGGACTGTGTAGAACTCTTCCAGGGTACGGGACACGTGGGGACAGTCCTGGGGAAATATGTCATATTAAAATCAAACACATTATCCTACATTCAGAACACCATGCAATTACCAATATCAACTCACCAGTGACACAACATTATTACTGAGCACTCCACAGAACAAGGTCTTGACTAGTTTCTTGAGCTCCGGCGTCATCTCCTCGAGCTTGGAGACCAGGTCTATGAAGAACTCCGCCATGTCCTTCTGTTCACCAGTGTTTAGAGGTTGGTGGTCCATTTGGTACACCTTGCAGAAGCTGCGAGGGTTGTAGGCTTTGCGCTCACTTTCCTGTATGATAGATACATAAGATATTTTAGCAAGAGGATTCTTAGATAAAATATTAATATAAGGGAAAAAGGCATTTGGTGTTGAAGGAAGTGTCGTTCATTAGTATTTCAAGTTCAACGCGTGTGTTATACTTGGTAAAAATTGGTCAAATCGACAAAATTTAAATTTGTATCTCAAGAAAAAGCATAATGAGTACTTTTAGATAATAATAAATCATTTAACGAACACAAAAATAAAGTAACATTACAACGCCTTTTTTTAAGGGGGGAAAATCATCGAATGCTGCTCCTGCGTCTGCTCCCGTCCGGGGGAGGCGGGAGGTAGTGTCAGACTCTTACTGAATGAAAACCACCCCGTTCCTTCTCCTGCATGTCGAGCCGGAGTCTCGGTTACCCGTTAGGTTCTCGGCGACAACATTACAACGCTTAGCGCAAAGACTTACTCTAGAGCAAATATCATATTTAATTTTTAACAAAGAAATATTTATACAGTGTTCTTCACAACTCACCATAAGATAAGCGAACATCCTCTGCATCTCATGCAGGGTCGCTGAATGTCGACTGGCGGCGGGGTCAGCTTGCAACAACGCGGCGCGGGCCTGTGGCATCATGTACAGGTGCTGCATGCACGAGGCCATGTAACATGTCGCGCCCAGGTTGGTGAGGCCCACGTACCCACATTCCGACCGGGACTCCTCCGCCGGCCAGTAGTCCCAGGGGTACGACGATTGAGGACCTGCGTCGATACAGTAGCCTTAGCAGAGAAATTTTTGTGTGATAGTTTTGGAAACGAGAATTGTGTTAGAATTGGGTACTTGTCAATAGTCAAATTCAATACTTGTTTCGAACTGTCAAAACGATAGTTTTCTACGAATTTTGTACGAGATTGTGTATTGTGACGTCATCTTTTTTTTTGAGCCAAACATCATACTTAAATTAAAATTAAGTTATTCATAAAATGAATTAATGAAAGTGTGATTATTTTTTAATATTTTTTTGTATTGAAATAATTTATTTTTGATTAAGGCAAGTACCCAATTGGTTTTTTAATTGTGTCGTGTCGTCATTTTTTGTATTGCTATGTAATTCAGATCGTTGCTCAGACTGCCCCGTTGGCCGAGTGGTCGCAAGTGCGACTGCCGGGCAAAAGGACTCGGGTTCGATTCCCGGGTCGGGCAAAGTATTACTGGGTTTTAAAAAAAATCTCAGTAGTAGCATGGAGCCTGGAATTGTGTTCGGTATATGGCAATAGGATGGCCTCTATTACATGAGATTCATAACATAAATAGTAAAAAGTGGGTGTGTCATGTTATATAATTTCAGATTTTAAATAATATACAAAAGAAAGTAAGAAGAAATTAGCACAAAAGAACATTTTAGTCAACTTGGTGAATAGAAGTTGGGAGCGATAAAGTTTTTGAAATGGTATTATTTAGGATAAAGCTTCAACTAGTGAGATGGACCTTTTGTACAATTCAAAAATAAATTGTTTACTTGACTTGAATCAATAAGTAATCAAACCTACCAGGTTTATGATGTTCCATGAGTTTATTGTGTAGCACCATGTAGTTATCAGGAGCACCCCTTACTAACTCCACTAAAAGGTCGTAGGCGGCCGAGCGAGACTTCTGTGACTTACACTTCGGCAAGTTGCGGTTTTCCGGATTAGGAACGTCGAAGAGGAAACCGAAAACCTGCATTATAAAGAGTTCGAATTAATACTCAAAATAAAAAAAAAAACAATAATAGTTCATAAATGATAATTGGTAATCGGTACATCGTTTGCGCAAACTGTTTAGGAATTGCGCAAACAATTAGCGCATTGCGCATCAATAGTGGCTAAATAAGAAATTTTAATTTAATTTGCTTACCAAGTGCTACAAACACTTTAGGTAAATGAAAATAAGCCGTACAATTTCTAATATCAATTTATAGACAATAATCTCACCATCTCCAAAGTCCTAGTTCCTTGATCAGACATCTTGAACCGCAGTGGGTGTTTGAGCAAGTGTGTGAGTAAGCTGAGCTGACCAAACAGTCCGTCGTCGGGAGAACACGGCTCAGTCCTACGTTCTATTATTTCGCGTTTTTCTAAAGATGCCCGTATTTGTTCACAGAGCTCGTTTAAGTCGGGGGCGCCACTGTCTTCTGATGTTGCACCCTCTGTAAAAATTAAAAAATCCATTAATTTCTTAGAAGACAATAAATTATTGACTCGATATACATACATACATACCTCACGCCTGTCTCCCATGGGGGTAGGTATAGACAATGGAATGCCAATTGCTACGACTCTTACATAACTTTTCGCTTCATCAGTCTTTAGTCGATACTCATAATAATGTTTTTTCACGTTATTACATTGTCAGTGGTGTCTAGGTAGTCAAAGTCAAAATCATTTATTTGAATTAGACCAGAAAGGCACTTTTGAAGTTTAAAAAAAAGTGAAGTTATTCCAAGGTGTAGATTCCTATAGAGAAGAACGAGCAAGAAACTCCATAGGTTAGACTTTTTCAAACAGGTTCACAATTCAATTCTCTAGTTACATAGTTTTGTTGTATGGATTGTGTGAAAACAATGAAACACCAAAATCCAGTCAAACAGATCTCAGAAAGTACATATAACTAAAAAAAATGCGCATTGGTACTTGCCGTTAGTAGGTTTCCAACTCGCACGCATGCTTGAGAAACGGGCGTCTTAAACCTCGAAGCCACCACGAGCCATTACACATCTTGACCTCCTTCTCTTAAATTCTTTTTAAGTCTTACGTAAATGATGATAATATAGAACCTACCTTTGAAAAAGTCTTCAGGCAAGCCGTCTATAAGCCTGCAAACGAGCCAGAAGTAATCTCGACAAGCTGGTCCATAAGGTTCCTTGCCTTCTTCTGCATGGTGATGAGCAACCTTTGAACAAATAGAAGAACTAAATAATCAAAAGATAACGCAGTAACTATTCGCGGCGACTTCACAATAACCGTATAGTTAAATGACGATTATAAAGTTTATATGCGTCCTTGCACTAATAGGGTAGTTGTCGTCTAGTCGTTAATGAAATTGTGATTATTATTAGATTTTCTAAAATATAAATAGCCTATGGCATTGCTGGTGTACTGAGGAATAACATACAAGAACAACAATAGGCCCCTATGTTATTCCTCAGTACACCAGCTACCTGTCAATAAAAGTCCCGTCAAAATCGGTCCAGCCATTTCAGAGATCAGCCAGTATAAACAGATAGACAAACAAAAAATTGTAAAAAGTGTAAATTTGGTATATGTATCGTATGTATATTCATATGCAGTAAAAAGCAGTTATTTTAATATTACAAACATACATTCCAATTTTATTCCTCTATGTAGATTGAAAAGTTTAAATTGTTTATTTTGACTGAGGTTATTGTCCGTCTGGTAGATTATTTAAAAAAAAGGCATGTATTTTGTTATTTTTACGGAAACAAATACTTTCGGTTATATATTGACTTGAACTACCGCGTGACGTCACTTTTGAGCACGTTTTCTACCTAAAAATGACGTAGTTTGCTCCCACTGAGAACTTTGATTCATTTTATCTAAGCATTGTTTTCTTATACGACAGTAAAAAAAATACGGGTCTAAGATTTTTTAATATTCAACCTAACTGACAGACTAATTAGATTTTCAATTTTCATACCCTGTCATCATCCTTATTATAGAGACGACAGAGGTAAGATCAAGTATAAGGCCAGTACGGTAAAATGAGTTGAATAGGGATCGAGATGTGAATAATGACAGAAGAGGGGTGAATTGATACTATGAAAAATTTTCCAATATCAATTCTTCTGTCTGTATCCACCTCTCGGTCGGTAAGGCGGTGCTTACGTCGTGGTGGTGGTGGTGCGGGGCGGCGTGGTGCGGGCGCATGTCGGCGGCGCGCGGCAGGTGCTGCAGCAGCAGCTGCAGCAGCGGGGCCAGCGCCGCCACCTCGCCGCCCGCGCACAGCCGGTACAGGGCCGACCCGGCCTCGCGCCGCACCTACGGCAACAACATTCCTTGCTATTATTCCAGAAGGTTTATGGTGATTAAATATTATTTTATTTATGTAATACACGGATTACCAACAGCTATACCGTGAATTCTATTTCGTTTTCGTCCTGTAGTACGATACGTACTACTATGTCACGTAGTAGTTTTTCTGTCTTGATAGTACAATTTTACTAATAAATAAAATGTTTAAAACAAAAAATAACCAGTGAACCATTGCAAAAAGCAAACTTTGAAAGCACATACGAACTCTAGTACATTATCAAAATATCACGCCATGAAATTCTCGAAAAGGTATTTCTCGTCGGATGCCACGTGCGATGTGAATGGTGCCTACAAATTTACGTTTTTAATCAAAATCAATTCGTGGGCGTAACTTGAGTCCGTCGATTGATATTTGGAACTTTTTGACTAGCTGTAAATACTGCCAGTATTAATCTGGCATTGACAACGTAATTTCCATAGTATATCTGTAGAGTATAGTGCAGTGGCTACATACGGCGGGGTCCGCGTCGTCCAGTAGCAGGCGCGGCGCGGCGCGACGCAGCGACCAGGCCAGCGCCACGGCGTCCCCCCCGCCGCGGGCCCACCACACGCACATGCGCATCGCGTGCTGCACCACCTGCACACACACACGACTTAAACCTACTCAAAAATAACTATAATAATTAAAAAACCAGAGAGATACGTCCACTCATTACAGTTGGCATACTTTATTCAATTTTGTATACTATCTCAGCCAGGCTTATGAGAATTTGATTACTTAACAGGTTTATTTTTATGGCTGCCTCGTTGGCTGAGTGGTCGTAAGTGCGACTGCAGAGCAAGGGGTCTCGGGTTCGATTCCCGGGTCGGGCAAAGTATTTAAAAAAACTCTCAGTAGTAGCACGGAGTCTGGAATTGTGCCCGGTATATGGCAATAGGCTCACCCCCTATTATATGGGACTTGTAACATAAATAGTGAAAAGTGGGTGTTACATTGTAAGTACAGTGGCATAATGTGCACCTCTGCCTACCCCTTCGGGAGTAAAAGGCGTGATGTTATGTTTTTATTTTTATGGGACAAGCCCGCCACTACCTCCCAAAACCAGAACATTGAAGTCCAGCGCCTCTCACGGACATGAATACCTAACAGGTTGTGCTTGCAACCATTCATCCATCGAAACACATCTAATGAAGGTTCCCTTCAATAGCTCTATGTTACATACCTGTGCCCTGCCCCAGAAGCCAGTCTTGTAGGTGGTGGGTTCCTTGAGCGTGGCCGCCTCGCACAGTATCGATATCAGTCGCTCGGTCGTCTCCTCTACGCTCATCAGTGATAGTAACGACTAGAAACATACACCAACATATCTATACTAATATTATAAAGAGGAAAGATTTGTATTTTTGTATTTTTGTATGTTTGTAATGAATAAACTCAAAAACTACTGGACCGATTGCAATAATTTTTTCGCCATTAGAAAGCTGCATTATTCAGAAGTAACATAGGCTATATAATATCACGCTAGGTCCTATAGTTGTGGAGCAGTAACCAAAAATGTTTTAAAAACGGGGGAAAAGTATCGTTTCTGAGGCCTTCCGTGGCGTGCGCTGAGCATAT